ATTTCTTAAGTTAATACAGGCACAGCACCGTACAATGAAATTCTTACTTTGATAGTTTGCTTTGTTTGATTTGCTGCTTTTTCTGTTTTTTTTATCTATCCATCCATTATCCTGTAAGTGTTGCATTGATCAAGACGTGTTGTACATACAAGACACGTCTTTTTGTATCATTGGAAATTCAGTATCTATAGCTCTTGGTCAAAACAAGACATTTGACAGTGTGACCTCAAGAGTTCAGACGTTAGTGATTTCATGGAGTTAACCATTCATTGCTAAATCTCTAAATAATGAAACTGATAAGTTCCTAATGACAGTAATTGTTAGTCGCATCCTGAAAGTGTAAAAGTCAAGTCAAATTATTCACTGCAGCAGTTTTTGCACGACTCTATAGTGAAAAGAAACTTTAAACTGAAGCAGAGGTGCTGACAGATCATGAAGAAGCAGCTCATTGTCTTTTAAATCAATTATTTATATCCCTCCACATCTGGAATATTAGTTGTATAATGTCAGTGACTGTGTAGTTTCTGAGAGTGATGCAGCCTCAGAGCTAATTGGCCTTTGTTACAGATTATTTGACATGCAGGAGGGAGCGCCGGCTGTAATCAATAACAACATAATTGATGGCTGCATTTCATTTAATTTTGTCAATGAGTATTGTTCTTGCTGGCTCACTGACAGAGCTAAACTGGAGAGGAGCTGTTGTTAATGTTTATTAGCTACACGTACTCGTTTCCTGCTGTGGCATGTGAGAATGTTGTGGCGTGTGTTCTATAAAACAGTCTGTTATTAGCGTTACAAATCCTACAGGTACTGACGCATTGTTGAGTCAGGGAGTTCAGAAGGTGTTTAGGTATTTCCCTCCGACTGCAGGTTGTCAGTTTCAGTGTTAAAGGAGACACATGCTCATATTCAGGTTAATCGTTTTAATTTGGGTTAAAGTTGAAAATGTTTTCATGTTCAAATGTTCAGAAGACGAACCACTTTCCTCTAACTGTCCATTGCTGCAGCTCCTCTTTCAGCCTCGGTCTGAAACGCTTGGTTTCAGCTCCTGTCTCGTTACAGGCCTCCTGATTGGCCAACCCCTTCCAGCACATGTACGAAATGTTGGCCTCCACTCTCGCTCGTGACGATATGGACGCTTAGCAGAACCTTTACATGTAAAACCTACATAAGCCTAGAGGAAGGAGAATTCTTTATGAACAAAATATTTTGAGTTAAGAGTCAGCCGACAGCTCCTTAAATCATTTGTTAGCTATTGAGCAATGGAGTGATGTCGTGTCAGTTAGAGCACACAGCCGCACTTCATTTGTCTTTGTCTTGGCAGACTCCTCCAGGTTATTGTTTCCCAATGTGAGCTGAAGCAGACAGACCGCATATAAACAGGTGTGACACTCAGGGTAGGTGTTGGTGGGGGGCGGCTCTGTTTGCATTGTGAAGCTGTGGTTTGAATGTATCTATGCATGTTGCCATCAAGAACTTTTTGGGTTTTCTGTGGTTTCTCTTTCAAGAAGGGTTTGGTTCAGCTGTATGATCATAAGAGGATGTTATCTGTCGCTAAGCTGAGTTGCATTTCACTGAGGTAATATTTTCTCCCTTTTATATCAGCGAGGTAAAATGAAACATTAGAAACACCCGTCAGTATAATGGAAGCAGTTCAACAGTGCTATGATCCCCCCTCCATCAAAATTATCATCAGATTGGGGGCTTTAATAGTTCTTACCACAGCGGCTGGGGTTCAACCCTTTGCTGCATGTCATCCCCTGTCTCACTCCCCTAAATTTACCTTCTATGTACAATATGTAACTTCGAACACTAGGGGTCGCTCAATCAAACTAACAACAAAAGACTGATCTACTTGGTTCCTTTCAAGGGGAAGGAAAATATTATGCAATTAAAAAGGTGACCAAAATGAAACAACCTAATACCTTGAATAACCTCGGAGATTTCTCTGGTGAACATTGTTGGAAACATTTTAGATAATGTAAGTACACAAGTCAGCAAATTATATAACATAGGTGTAGGCCATAGACATTCAGTTCACTTTCAAAAAAAAAAAAAAGCTCTGTTTTAAATTCAAAAGCTATTGAACCCACTGTTTCAAAATAACTCATAAACATTCAGAGGTTCAGGAGGTAGAGCGGGCCAGTGGTTCGATCCCAGTCCGCCTAAGTCACCCTAAGTCACCTTGTTGTACTCACCCCTGAATGACGTGTTGACAGTGTGTGGGTGAGGTGTAATAGAGAAAGTGCTGCACATAGATGAACTCCTTGAATGCGTTTAGACTTTGTGTGGTCATCAAGACAAAAACAAAAAATAGGCAAATTTACACAAGTGATACTGTGGATATACAGAGAGTGTTTGTCGAGCTTGGGGCTGTCACAAGAGGAGATTCATCATTTCTGGCTCACTGCACCTGCTATGTCAGTTCCTGGGTGGTGGGGGGAAAACCCCAGCAGGTTTCTAAAGGGCAGACATGTGGAGCTGACATGGTTCATGTCACGATAACATGTCAGGTCTTTAACCTGAAGTAGGTTTGATAAGGAAAAGACCAAAGCGGCAAACAAACGCTCTTTGTGTCTTTCACCATGAATGAATGAACGGGGAAGCATGCATATGTTTTCAAAGTGCAGCAGATTCTTAATGCTGAMAAAAAAAAAAAATTCAACTCCAACTTTTTTCCACGTGTGAGCTAATATTAATTAATTGTAGAAATTAGCACATCGACAGCTTTAATGACTCTTTATTTTTGTTCCTTAGTTGCAAACAAACATCTGCCAAACCAGTAAAAATCAACGTTTCCTCCACAGTGGCCTGTCGGTACATGGTGGCTCTTTGAGGAGAAGGGGAGGAGTCCCAGCGGTGGTTGGTTGGTGGGTGGCGTCCACAGTTGCCACGGTAACTGGCGACCATGCCAGGAGGTCGCAGGGGCCCCAGCAGACAGCAGCTGAGTCGCTCTGCTCTGCCGTCCCTGCAGACTCTGGTTGGAGGCAACCTGGGCAATGGTACAGGCCTCAGGAACAGGTATGAACATGCTCACCTGCAACAAGTTTAGTTCAATGTATTGACGTTTTTTAGTATTTTTCAAAACGTTCATGTTAATGCAGTGTCACCTCAAAAATAAAAACAGTGTGGCAGTAAGAAATCCTACCTCTAAATCTTGACAGAATTTAAATAAGTAATCCAAACATTTTTAAAAGATTAATTTTTTGCACGTTTGTACACGTCTGATACATTTCATTTGAAAAATACATATTTACTCCACATAAGATGCCATAAAGATGCATTTCTGTGCAAATGAAGTCAAACACAGTCTTCAATTATTTCCAGCATTGGTTAATCTGCAGATCATTTTCTTGATGAATCAGTACAGGGACATAAAAATTCAGAACAATGCAGGTTCCTAAAATCCAAAGCGATACAATCCCAGTGCTTCTCAGTCAACACAAAGATTTTCCTGTGAAAACATAGGAAATTAATACATTTTGACAGTGAAGAAACTGGAACAAGCTCATGTTTGGAATTTAAAATAAATCATTTAAAAGTGACTTTGATTCATGTTGAATTAAGGTTACAGATGATTAACTCATATCCTCTTTGAATCTTTTTTTTTATTAGAGATCAGTGCCGAGCCTCGTGGTTTGTCTGTCCTACTTTACTGAGCTGACATTTGATTGTGTAAATGTTTCTGTAAATTTTTAGTTGATGTGACACAAACCTTTCTATTCCTCATACAATCTTTTTGACTTGTTTTGTATTTTTGGTTTTTCTTGTGTATTCTTTAGGAGCAGTAACTCGGTGGGTCTGTCGGCCCCACCTCTCTCGGCTCTCATTACTCCAGAGCCTGTCCGCCATTCCCGGATCCCCGAGCTGCCGTTGGACAGTGGCCTGCTGTTTGAGTTACTGCTCTTTCTTTATCTGCTGGTGGCCTTGTTTGTCCAGTACATCAACATCTACAGGACGGTGTGGTGGTACCCATACAGCCACCCCGCTGCCTCTACCTCGCTCGTAAGAACACAAACACACACACACACACACACACACACGTACACACACACAAACACACACACACACACACACACACACACACACACACAAACACACGTACACGCTTAAAGATTAAGTGTGTAAGATTTAGGTGAAAGGGATCTGTTAGCAGAAATTTAATATGAAATAATCCTAATGATGTTTTTGTGAAGTGTGTTTCACATAAATTGTATGAACTGTTGTTTCTTGACCCTAGAATTGGCCTTTTATATGTGATAACTTTACATTTACATCGGGAGGGGGTCCTCTCTACGGAGGCCGCCTTGTTTTTTTTTTATAGTCGTCCAAACTGGACAAACTAAACATCTTTCATGTTTTCATGAAAATTGGAGGCTACCAGGGATATTTTTCATGTTAGGAAGGGGAGGGTGGGGTGAGGGGTATTCAGCTGCAACATGCAAATTCTACACACTGAACCTTTAACGCACACTTAAGCGCACACACACCAACAACTTTGTTGTCTGTGGCAGATTGAAATCATCATATCTTTAAAAATGAAACAGATTCAAATCTTTGTGCAACATGAAACTTTGTGAGGTTGTTTTCTTTTCTAACGTCTGTGCAGCTTTTTTTTGGGTGAACATTTGTTCGTACATTACTGATGTTTCAGGTCTTACTTTATATTCTGCTAAAAAAAGAAACAATTTAATGTATGATCTTTGTATTGACATCTGGTATTTGATATTCCTGCAACCCATTATGTGTATCCACAGTTTAGAAACTTTATTGCCTGTAACCTCTCCCCTCATGTCATCCCCCATCTTATTTTAGCCGCCATCTTCAAATGTAAACACATAAACTTTAACAGTGCCACAAATTAACAAATCTCAAATGAGAAAATAAACATTGTTCGGATAATCTCCTGCATCAAAATGCAGCAGCTCGGTCTAAAGTTGTAGTTTGGCCTCACTTTCTAAAATAAGATTACATTAGATTCTCTGACTATAAAGTGATCAACTCTCAACATTATGATGTCTGGCACTTTTATTCCTCTGCACCAGAAACCACCTGTGGCAGGCAGCAGGCATGTTGTCTTCATTTCATTTATGTGATAACACAATATCCGAAGAACCCCTCGAGAAACTATTTAAATTTGACACAAATGTTCACGATGACTCACAGATTAACTGATTCAATTTGGTTGGTCGAAGGTCAAGGAGTGATTTCAGTCTCTTGAACATGATATATCAAGTCTGCCTTTTTGGGAATTGTCTTCAATATTTGATCAGTTGTCATTTGGATTCAAAGATTTATTGATTAGATTTCAGAGGACAAAAGAAAAATAGATGTAAACTGAAACTGCCCTGGTCGGTGTAGGCGTACAATCACAGGGTGGTAATTTAAGTTAACCTTTGAAATACGAGAGCAGATAAAGTGGACTTGTAAATAAATGTCCATATTATACATTAACGTATTAAGCTACTCATTTAGTTTTATCGTATTTCTTTTATCTTCTTTTACCCACTGTTTATGGTAATATTTAAATTGTATTCATAGCTGCTTGTCTCATTGTCTGGCTGAGGTATTCTTGTTCTTGGAGAACTGAAAATGAAAATATATTTGCCTAATAGTTTGTGTCATGTGTATTTGTTGTCCTTTTCCTTAATAAAAAGACAGTTATCAATAATGTCTCAATGGAAAACTGATATTAGCCTTTTCATTCTTTCTGTGCTGCTCCTGCAGAACTTTCATCTAATGGACTATCACCTGGCGATCTTTATCACAGTCATGTTGGCCCGGAGGCTTGTTTGGACGATAGTTTCAGAGGTAACCACAGACTTCTATATACAATCAGCTCCTGTTGCCCCTCTGGGGTCTCTCTGATATCTGTGACTCATAACGTCGTCTCCTCCAGGTGTCTCAGAGCAGCGGCGGATCGCTGCTCCGCTATGTGGTTCTTATCGCGGCACGGCTCTGCCTGCTGACCATGTGTGGCTGGGTGCTGTGCTGGACGCTGGTCAACCTCTGCAAGAACCACTCTGTGCTCAACCTCCTCTTCCTGGGATACCCGTGAGTAAATTATTCATATAGTGTTGCTTCTTGGTTTTATTTTTTTTAATGTGTGTTAATAGACATGTGGACCCACCTTTTGTGTTTCTGACCATTTTGTTTTCATACATCATCATTTTAAACTAAAACTCGCTGCTCTGTTCTCGTTCACTCGCCGCCCTCCCTCCCGGGCAGATTCGGTGTGTACGTCCCGCTCTGCTGTTTCCATCAGGAGGGAGGGAAAAGCCAAGCGGCGCCAACCGACTGCGATTACCCAGCCGATCACCAGACGACCGACCTAGCAGAGGCCCCGTTCTTTCGACCACGCGACTTCCTCTTCCTGTTGCGAGAGAACCTCCGAGAGCAGTTTTCCAGCTCGCCGCACATGCCCACTCACACCTGCCCACCACAGACGCACTCGCACACACCTGAGTTGATTCGAGCCGAGGTGGAGGAGCTGAAGAGCGACTTCAACCGTCGAATCAAGGAGGTGCTCTTCAACTCGCTGTTCAGCGCTTACTATGTCGCCTTCCTGCCTCTCTGCTTCGTCAAGGTTGGTATCTGTCACTCTTCCTTCAGTCCCCTGAAATTTTAGATGAAGTAATCTCTGATTCTCCATCTGCACAGAGCACCCAGTACTATGACATGCGTTGGTCGTGTGAGCATCTGATCATGGTGTGGATCAATGCGTTTGTGATGCTGATGAGTCAGCTGCTGCCCCCCAGCTATTGCGACCTGCTTCATCGGTCGGCAGCTCACCTGGGCCGCTGGCAGAAACTGGAGCACGGCACGTACAGCAACGCACCTCAGCATGTGTGAGTGGCCCTTTGTCCCCACTTTTTTAATCACTCTCAAGGGTTTTAAAATGACTCTTGTAGGGGTTTGTGTGTAACTGTGGTGTTGAAATGTTTTGCAGGTGGTCAGAAAGCACTATTTGGCCTCAGGGGGTGTTGGTACGACACAGTCGATCTCTGTATAAAGCAGTTGGACCCTATAATGTTGCTCTGCCCTCTGATGTTTCCCATGCAAGGTTTTATGTGAGTATCTGTACTTTGTATCTTAAGCTGCTTTCACACAAGCACTGCACTCCGGACAGTTGACTGATATTTTAATGTGTAGAGAATTCACAGGTAGTGAGTAGGTGCTTTGATGAAGTTACTGACACAAAGACGCAAAACTGAAAAAAGACAAAAAGCAAACAATGTTCTCTAGAAGATGCAGACAAAAATGTCGGCTTGGAAAGACCACGAGTTCCGAGAGCTTATAATGATAAGGGCCGACGCCAGTGTTGACGTGCTGTAAAGAAAACTTCTTTCTGCAGTGGAATTTATACGACATGTTTTGCCTCCTGCATGCTGCGCCACCCCTCGCCTGAATGTTCTGTACATTTACTTGTCTGACCTGCACGATCTCCTGCTGCGTTCTGCATGTGAAAGTTAAACTCTGTCTGGACCCAATTTTTCCGACATTTTCCAGAGTTAATGTCTTAAAATGGCCATTGGATATTAAGTTTGTTCACCCATGACCTTCTGTCTGCTCTGTATATTCTTTGCTGATCTTCTTTTCCTGTCGTTTGCTCTTTCAGTTTCTCTTTCACAAGCCATTGCGGATCCTGAACCTGCTGATCTGGATCGAGTCGAGTGTGGTTTTGTACCAGTTATACTCTCTGCTGCGCTCTGAGCGCTGGAACCACACGTTGTCTCTGGGCCTTATTCTCTTCTGCAACTACTATGTCCTTTTTAAACTGCTCCGAGACCGCATCGTGCTGGGCAAAGCCTATTCCTACCCTCTGTCCTCCACCACTTTGGGGCTCAAATCACAGTAAAGGCTCCGCAGAGCAAGACCTCACCTACGGACTCTGGATTTGGAGGGGAAACTGGAGGAGGTCTGGTACAGCGGAAGACTGGAGGGTCGTTTGGCACTCACGCCTGGAGGTTAAGGGACAGACTGTGAACTCATAATTGTGTTTTGATACGGTTCTATTTTTAATGCAATGTTTATATATACCTATTTAAAAGAATATTTTTATTTTGTATACTATTTCGAGTTACGCCCGGGCATTACCACACTGACAACATTAGCATGTTGTGTTAGGTGACAGGGAAGTCGGGGAATGCCAGGAGGTGACTTTCACCAAAGATATTTTAAGTGCAGGTGGCCAATGACAGACGACGTGGCCTCCGACAGTCAGTCAAACCAGATGAGGAGTCGTGCCTGATCCTGAATCCTGATTGGCCCTAAATTCTGTTTCGACTTTGAGGCTCCCGAATCTTAAATCTGGAACCAGTTGCTGTCTGAGGAAGCAGGATGATTTGATCATTTCAGCATTGCTGCAGTAATTATTGCTGATCCTTTAGCCGATGCTCTTAAAGGAATAGTTTGACAACGTTGAAAATAAGCTTATTTACGATCAGGCGAGGAGTGAGAAGATTAATGTGACTCATGTCTGTGCTGGAAATATGAAGCTGGTGCCAGCTAAGCATAAAGAGAGAATGGAGAGACAGCTCTGTTCTGTCCAGTGGTTCTAAAATCTACCTACCAGCAGCTCAAAACTTTTTATATCTCTTTTGTTTAACTTCAAAAGTTTTGTAAAAAAAATAAAAATTCAGTTGTGTTATAGTATGTTATGTGCTGGGGACATAAGCTAAGCTCCCCCTGTCCTGCAGACATGAGGGATTGATTTTCTCACGTGACTTCCTGCCAGACTGAGAATAGGTGAATTTCCGAACTTTGTCCGACTAATCTTAGAGCAGAGCCTCAGTGTGGACATCAGATAAAACATTGACTGACTTGAGATCAGTCACTAATTAAATCACACCTATCCACTGCTAAAACAGAGCATGCTGTACTTGTCCTCATTTGCCTTTTTTTTTTTTTTTTTTTTTTTTNGAGACAGAAACAGTCGTGTCACCACTTTATAATTTGATGTTGATGATATCACTAACATCAGTTTAATAGAATAACAGACTACAACAGTAAATAAATACCTTTTTATTTTCAGTATCTGCTCGTTTCACATCATTGGCTGTGTGGAGGGGCAGTAGCAGCACCAAGCTTTGGAAACTTTCACTCATGTTCTGCCCTGGTTCTGCTTTAAAAGGCTGCTGCTGTAACCAGGTAATCATAAAAGGTACTGATGCCTCTCCACACTTTGACATGCTGAAGTATATTTTTTTCTATGGTATAGCATATGACCCATTTGTGCTCTTAAAAGCCATCCAGACTCTGTTCTGTTGAATTTTGGTGCCTGAATTCTTAAACCTTAGTGGGGGTGAGGGCCATGTGACATCAGGTTCATCTCTTTGCCAACTGGATGCAGTTAACAGAATGATTGTGGTTTATCGATTTTTCAGTTGAATGTCCCAGGATCCAGCCACAGCGAATATGTCGACAGCAGTGGATGTTTAACGGTGACACTTCTGTGGAGGATGCATTCAAAATCAAAAGAGTGTGGATAGCTGGAGGGGAGGGACTGTCTGGGTCACCTCACTACCATTTCATGTATTGTCAGTTACCGCAACGGTGTTACAAACAGGTTGCCTTGCATTTTGTTGTTGTCTGGAGTCGCATACGTGAACATCCTTACACTCAAGTGGGCTCCTCTTTGTGAGCCTCCAATTATCAAGATGGAAATCAATAGAAGTTGAACAGAAGCCTTTTCGTCAGCGGGCAAAGTCCAAGTTGGAAATCTTAGAATGAATATTTCCTGTTGCAGCTGTGGATTTCACCTGAGTTGAGTTTAAGTGAGAGGGAGGAAGTTACTTTTAAGTGTGTCTGTCTGGATCGCAGCAAGTGTTGAGAATTTTTGATTCAACCCAAATGTCATGCACGTGTCTGTTTGTTCTGCTTCAGCAAACTCAGCCCCTACACTGGCCTGTTGGTGCTTCAACTCGGTTTTATGTCATTTTCCACTTGAATGTTGCAGATTTTGCAGCTAAATGGTGCTGTTCACTTGAATTGACAGGCTCCCTCTTTCTCATTGGTGAGCACAGTCATTGAATTATCAATTTTTCTATGGGTATAGTATTATTTCATCCTAAACTTGCCCTCATCCCATTGCTACCGAAAGATCACATTTTGAGGTTTGATTAAAATTCTGCTTCTTTGTCACATATTACTTGAATGTTTTTTTCCCAAATAACACAAATTCTGTCTGCTTAGTTTGGTGAATCCCATTATATCACAGGTGAAGTGAACACCTGACCACAGTGGTGAGAATTGTACTTGATCGTCCTCTGGCCTACAGGATATTAGGAGATCATTGTAAAATTGTCAGCGATGGTTTCGATCTGTGTTCCCTTTGCTATAAAAAATGTTCAAATTGAGTTACAGAGTTTGTTTGGTCAGTGCCATGTTCCAGGGTTCATACTCCAGGTTGAAAGTGCTGGAGAAGTCACAGGAGCTGGTCCTCATAGTTCGGCATTTTTACAGAGTTCTGTTTCCACAAAGTATTTCTGAAAACATCGGAAATAAAAAAACTAATGCGGTTTAAACCAACAATGTGTTTCTGTGCATGAAATGTCTTGTTTGAGGACACGGGAAAGAAATGTGACACAGTTGCATATTTCAAAAGCATATATTTCATTACATTTGCCACAGTCTTCAGTTTGAGAGACAAAATAATGCAGTGTCACAAGTGTGAGGAGGAAGTAAAAAGTGCTTATTTAGGCTCAAGCTTAGTCTGCATAATGGACACCTGCAGTGTTTTACCTTTGCCACCAGGGGGAGCTAAGCATTAGCGTACACCATTTAACAAAATGTGCTCTGCAGCCTTGGTGTGAGTCATCTGCTGTCGTCGATCGTCCAAAACTTTCCTCACCGGTAACTTTGCTGACAGAGAAAAGTGTGCCTTTAGATAGCTAGTGTGTCCACTGAGAGGAGATACATGATAGTTTGGAAAGTTGGCACCTTTGGTAGCTGACTTATACATTCATCCACTAAAATCATACTCAGTAGAAAAAGGTTTGAACAGTGCAATCTTTAGTATTAGCTCAAGAAAAATGATATGAAAAGTCAAACTGCCGCGCTGCTTAGGTTTACTCCAAACACATCTTTGTACATCAGTCCATGTTCCAGATCCGAGGACCTGTTGTCCAGATGAATGTTCCAAGGTACAGAAAAAACATGCCACAGTTCTGCACAACCACCTGAACCTAAATGTTTTTCCAAAAATATTTCTAACACTTTCATGTTTTAGGAAACTAAGCAGAAATGAAATGAACACAGCCTCTTCACATAAGTTAGTGTTGTTACTGGATTTGTCTTTACTGATGTTGGCTTCTGAGAGCAAGCAAATGAAATTAAGATTTTTATGTTAATGTTATGTCAGTGCTACAAGTAGAGAGGTGAGAAGTGTGGATTGTTGTGGCCCACATATTCCAGAAAGGTCATGAGGATGTAGTGGGCCTGTTGTTATGAAGCTATACCTGTGTCCATTTCCTCAGCCCTCTCTGCAGTCCACAAAGTTTCCCTTAATCCAGTAGCATATCTGAGCGTATTTGAGAGGCGTGATTCTCACAGCTACATTGAATTCCTGAGATGCCCCTTGTCGCTCCACCCACTGATGCCCGGAAAACACACCTATCACCTTCCGCTCCCAACGCCGACGCCTCCCATCCCACATTCGGGCGTAGACACCTGAGCCGCTGGCCCCGGGTTGAGCATCGCAGTGCTGGTATAGCAGGTCTGATGTCTCTTCGCCAGCCCGACAGAACCGATACACCAGCTGGCCTGCACGGTCGTTATCGAATCCTGAGAAGTGGACGCGTTTACCCGGCAGCCTCTGAGCCGGTGGGCTGACTCCCAACTTCATGTGGCGGCGTTTGTGGGGTTTCTTGAGTTCAAGCAGAGCATAGTCATAGTCCATCCCGATGTCGTTGGCATTCCCTTTAATCCATCCTTTGGGGACATGGGTGCGCTTGGCTCTGATCCACTGGAACTTCATTTTGTCGTTGGTTGGGGGGTTGTAGGGAGCGATGCCACCCTCAACGCGGTTGGTGAAGTTGGAGGGAAGGTAAAAGGAAGAAGACTGTGCATCTCGTTGCTTGGATTTTAAAAATCCAACCCTGAGTTTCTGGGCTCCTTTCACATAGTTTTTACCATCGTGAACACAATGAGCAGCTGTGAGAACATGACGGTCACCCACCAGTGTCCCAGAACACCCAGTGGACAGTTTGACAGCCACTGAGAACGGATATTTAAGCAGGAAGTTCTGTCCAGCGATGCTAAAACGTCCGTCATGGCCGAAGATCTGACGCTTTCTCCTGACGTGGGACCGCGCAGCCTTCTCAGACAACCTAGAGGAATAGGCTGTGCTGGTGGTAGAGTTGGGTTGGTAGCCATAGATCCCAATGGCAGTCTCAGTCAGTTGACCATTAGAGTGAAGAGTCTCGTAGGCCAGAAGACTCCGCAGGTCCCAGTAGCTTAGCTGGGGGGCTCTCTTGTGGCATTCTGGGTCACAGGGGGAGTTGACATCCAGACGGGCCGGGGACAGGAAGTGTGGGGCAGGCCGAGGCTCAGTGTTCTGTGGGAGGACCACAGGGACACGCTGGAGAATCCAGTGGGGGCGGAAGGAGAAAATGGAGGGAAGGAAGAGGAGAAATAGGAGGGAGGTAAACCTGTGGGTGGGAGGTAGGAGAGATCAGGTGAAATACTAAAAACATGAAGTGCATCAAACTCAACATTTCTGTAGATCCCAAGGGGTCAAGTTCAGACCGGACGTCTGGGCCCCTCAGCGTGAAAAACATCCTCATTCCTAAACGCAGCATCATGGGTTTATAATTACAAGCTATGGGAGTTGAGGGAAAAGTATTTCAGCTGGAAGTTTAAAAAAAAATTTTTTTTATCAGCACTGGAATTTGGAAGTTGGATCTCCCACTATTTTTAATGCTGCAAATACGTCAGACGGGGCAAAGATCAGTCCTTACGATGGAACATTCCTTGAGTGTCTGTGGGGATTCATGACCATAAACCTGTAAGAGTGGCTGAATAACCAGAGTTTGTATATTTGGCACAGTTGAGAAATGACAAGTTTATTATTAACACCTTTCAACAACAAGGCAGTTCAAAGTGCTTCATGAGGCATCATGACAAACTGTAATCATGACACCGTCCTGTATCTGTCACTCACTGGGACCAAACTGTCATGGAGATGTGAAGTCTCCTGTAACTCATGCAACACGCAATAGTTTTCTGTCAAGTCCCTCTTCATCCAATTCTTTATTTGCTACTGCACCGATTAGATGTGTGCAAGGGAAATTCCCTTTAGTTATTTTATTTATTTATTTTTTAAGTTTTACGCACAGACAGACATGGGCATAGAGGTGACTTACCCGGGGAGCGCAGACCTGGAGCGCATGGTTTGTCTTCTGCAGGTGAGCTGGTGGCTGAACACTGAGGGGAAAACCCCCTCCTCAAGCCCGACGTGTCAGAGGCAGTGAAGGGATTTGAACTGGTGAACCAGCCCTGCTGCAAAAACACAAAAAACCCACAGCAGAGCAGTTGTCTTCTCGGCTCTTCTCTCAGGAACTGACAGCTTTATTTAATCCGGGATGGAGTGGAGTCGTCCAACAGAAGCAGCCGGGTCGACAGCGGCGGAGGAGCTGGACCATTGTGCGCTGCAGAGGAGGAGGAAGATGGTGAGGATGATGAAGAGGAGGGGAGGGGGGGGGCTCCTGCCTGTCTGAGCTCACTCCTTCATCTGCGGACGACTGGAGGCAGCGGGAGTGATTCCAAACTCCAACACGGTCACATGACATCCCATCACTTACTCCGTCACCTCCCCATCTGTGAGGGACACAAACTGACAAGAGTAGAAGTACATCTTTAAGTTAGTGCAGTGGTAAATAATTATATGGAAAATAAATACATTTGGGGAATGAAAAGGACAATTAATGGATTTTTTTTTACATGTATTTATATAACTAACATAAAAGGTATTCAAATTAGTTAAATTTTAACAAGGTCAAGACCTTCAAATATAGAGAAACCCAATCCCACATTTATTTATTTCTACTTATGTCATTTTCATACCCATCAACAGTCTGAGCTGAATACACAAATCATTTTCAGATTAAATGCAGATTTAGCATTTGTATTCAGGCTTCATGTTGGTTTGCTTCAGCAACTATAACAGCAGGAGCCTCGTCAGAGAAGTTTTTCTATTACAAAAAACAATTTTTCGATCATTTCAGTTACCACATTTTTTTTTCACATTCAGTACTGTCAAGCTACAAGAAGCTGCCTGGAATTCATTGTCATTGGATGATTTGTGATCATCAGGACAGGACAAAAATTTGGACAGAGACACGTAGAGGAGAGGAACTGTAGGATAATGGAAAAGGAATGAAGTATTGTCAGTATTTGTAAGTGTATACTTCCCTTAAAGCACAGACAGACACAAGAGGTTTCCTTGCTTCTGGTTTATTGAAGATTTCTCCCCAAATTCACAGTGAAAAGTAACAAACACAACAAGAACATATAGAAATCATGTTCGTATGCAAAGCATGGGGAACATGAATACAGACAAACAAAACAAACTCATTGGCTATAAGTGACTGTGACCTTGTGATCATTCACTTTTACGTCTCATCTTTAAAGTGCAACCCAACGTAACCTGGGCTTTCAAAATATTAGTCCTGTTACATATACTTAGTGAAGTAATGAATACATTAAAAGTTACAGCTTTGATATATTCTCCATTATACAATTTGTTACACAAAGGGCAAACAAACCCTGCACATAATATGGAAAGATAAAATGTTGATCTTGTCACACATCTTGTTTCACATTGTTGATTCACTTGGTTGATCGCCCTCATGACTCACGCAGACACACACACACACACACACACACAAATAAATGTTAAATCATTGTAGTGACCCATTTGTTCAGAGATAAAAACGTGAATGACTGGACGCATCTATTTTTAAATATGTGTGAGCAGCTACAAAATCTCTCTTGGTGTAATGACTTCCTTTGGCACAAGTGCCGCCAGAAAAGAGGGGAAGATGGAAAGAACAAGGTGGAGGATGTTCTCAGCCTCCCCAGGGTCATGCAGACAGGCTGGGGTCAACTTTGAAAAACCACAGGACTGGGCCGGAGCAGAAGCAGGGTGGAGTCGGGTTGGAAAATAAAATGTTGGCTCCATTTCTAAGAAAATGTAATAAAAGAGTAACATGTAAGAAGCTTCACATCAAGATTACAAACATGGAATTGAAGAATATAATCATATAATAATTAAATTCAAACAATAGTAAGTTAATAGTTGTATAATAAATCTGAGTGAAATGACACAGTCACACACCAGTCACAGACTACCTGATCACAGTGACAAATAAAATATAATAATAGTAATTCCGAATTTTAATAATAATTACAAATACACACGACACTGCTCCACTTTGAATTTAATGGTCTGTATTTATATAGAGTTTTTCTAGTCTTTACGATCACTCAAAGCTCTTAACAGTACATTGCAGGAAGAACGGGGGAGGCGGGAATCGAACCAGAGACGTTATGGTCAGTGGGCCTGATGTGATCCAAGTTAAAATACTAGAAATGTACACGTGTATATTTGTTATTTATTGAACTGCTGCTGAAACCTGTTTAGTTACTTTTATGTGAGTATTCCTTCAAACATTAGTGTTATTATTGTCATTACACTGTGGTCGTGACCTTTGACTACAGAACACATGTTTCTGGACTGAACTGAAAGAAAAGGATTTTCTGAGAACATACACTAAAATCTCGAACCAACATTTCACAATGTGCAGGTTTGACACATGAAACTGAGAAGTTTCAGTAGTAAATCAGTAATTTGTATTAACTTTCGAGGCTTATAAGTGTTCTCTCGCCCGCAGCGAACCAATCAGGCTGCCTCGGTGAAGGGTACATTTGCATGAATTTCCCATCAGCCCTGTGAGCTTGTGAGCAACACGGAGGTTGATACAAGAATAAAGTTGGTTAAACGGATCATGTTTGATCGGTCTGAGCTCAACGTGAAGCCACAGAGTCAGGGCACCACGTCACAGCCTGTGACACCATTGGTTAAAACTGTGTCTGACTCACTTTCTTTTATTTACCTCTTGGGATATCAGTTCAAGATGTGAAACTCTGGCTTCACATCTAATAACACTGGATTGTTAAAGAGAAGTTTAGCATGGCCCCTGGTGCAAAGATGACAAGCACTATCAAGAAGCAATACTGTTTTACTGAATCATTTTCAATCGTTTAATTTTTCTTCTCTTCCTGTTTGCGGTTGAAATGCTGCTGCACCAGCAAAGCACTCCCAAGATGAACCCATTACAGGCCTGCAGAAGTGCCCCCTGTACTCCAAAAGGCCTCAGTACCGTCTGCTCTGGCCCTCCTGATTAAAGTTCATCTCAATGTACATTTCCACAGACGTCACCGGCGTCGGTGCATAGAAACGGTCCATTCTTGGCTGTGCTGTGGCACCGAGTGGAGGATGGAGAGCTGTGATTTAAGTCCCTAAAGATGAGGAGGAGAGGTGCTGTGTTTGCTGCCCACTCACCACAGAGTGGACTGATATCTATGAGTGTGGTCAATGTTTTTCATTTGTTTTTTTTAAATATTGGAGCTGATATCTATGAGTACATGCAAATGGTGCAGAAATATGGATTTATTGGATTTAAATGTGGTTTCATAGGGGGACTGTTTGGCTTGGATGGGGGTATGCACTTTACTGAGTGCCATAATTGTTTCTTTCATGCACAGGTTCCTGTTTAGATAAAGCAAACTTATTACATGTCGTTTAGTGAGCTTCAGAGGTGTTTCTAACAAATAATTTTTCCTTTAAGAGCCAGTCCCACCCCCACCCTCCACCCTCTTCCCTGGCTTCTGGCTGCACAATATGTCACAAATTCAGCTTCCAAGTTTAATTTTAATGAGTTATTTGACTTAAAAAACTTGGTGAAACTTCATGATTGTCAGCTGACTCTGGATAGTGGGATAAAGTGGAGATGTGTCATCCAATTTTTATAAACAGTTTATTTTTCAAGTCTTTATGCTAAGCTAAGCTAACTGACTGCTGGGTGCAGTTTTGCTTTTGCTGTGCAGACGTGAGGGCTGGTATCAATCCTCTCATCCATCTCTCAGCGAGGAAGCAAATAAGATTCTCAGATATTCAACGTCTCAACTGCAATTGATTATAGATCAGCACCTTTGCCAGGACTCAGGGTGGACCTGCTGGCTCATCAAACACTGCTCTGAATTACCCAAAACCCCACCCATCCCAAAACCCAAATTGACAGTTAACACACACATACCTCTCTCTCTTTCTGGAGCTCTATCTGGGTCAGGATGGTCTGCCAGGGTGTCGCCCTCCTCTCATCCCGTTAATGTTGATCGGCTCTGCGGCCTCGCTCTCTCTGCTGGTTTCTCACGAGCCCAAACTTCTTTGGTTTTCTAGCTTCACTCTGTAGATATATATACTCATCACTGCAACAGAGCAGTTTTTCCCTGTTTGGTGATTCACTTTTACCTGTGCAGGTCAATGATTGCACTTGAAATATGGGGTGCAGAATTAAACAGAATATGAAAAAACTATGTGTTTGTTTGTATTTCTTCTCTAGGACAACAGGAAGGAATGCCCCCTATTTCCAAAGGAGACCTTTCTGTTTGTCTTGAATTGTTATGAAAGAGTCCGTTTGTTTGGCTTTGCCCTCTGTTGTCAAGGAAACCCACATTCCCCAGAGTACTGTTCATGTTAATTGTTTTATTCCTCCCACTCTCCTCCTCTCGCTTCTGGCCACAGACACAATCGAGCAAGTGTGGATGGCCTCACATGTTTGAATCCTCTCTCTTTATGTCCCTCTGTCTGTCTGCTCTGTTCCATCTTTGTTTCCCCCCCCCCCATCTCTGTGCCTCTCTGCCTCTCTCGTTCGAATCGTCTCTCCCGTCCAGGAACTCTTCTCCCGCTTGTCCCAAGTGGCCATGAAACAGCTGTTTGGCAAAACCAGACAACCACAGGCGTCTTTCGAGAAGCTGTTTGCTGTGAAATCTTGAATGAAAACCCATGCCAAGTTTAAATCTCGATGAAAAGTCAAAAGGAAGATAATACAATTGTTGGCAAGCACATTTGATAATTTTTAATGCCTCATGTAAAAAGGAAATGGTCGACACTGTCTCGCTCAGCTGCTGTTGGGGGAAATGTCCACTGTTGATGCTCTGTACATTCCAGGAGTTATTTTGTGATGAGGTCTTGTCTGCAAACAGACTATTTTACCCAAGATTGTACAGCAACAATATGTGAATTTGTTCCAGTCTGTTTCCTCAACAATCTCCTGCTGGTATATATTTAAACTGTGCTCTGTTGCACCTGTAACCATCAGAGACTGTTTATTAAGATGGACGACCAATCTCCAAATCTTCCCACTGTACAAAAAGGAAGCCATCTTGTGATTCTGATATCCTTTGGGGCCAGAGACTGCACAGCAGTGATCGTGGATTGGAGCCACAGTGTCGAGGTCCCACCCTTATAGGCAGCTGACCAATCGTGAGTCAGTTGCAGCTGTCAATCATGATTTTTCACATTTTATAGCATCCTAAAATGAAACCTTAAACATTCATCAGTGTGATAATTAGAAACAAACATTTTAGAAGCAATCAAAACACAAATTGTTGTCCCATCTGTTAACATTGAGGGGCCAGTGTTTAGGATTTATACTG